CTATCCTATCCTACTTCATGTAAAACCCTATGTCTAACCCTAAAAGGTATGTACATACTATCCTATCCTACTTCATGTAAAACCCTATGTCTAACCCTAAAAGGTATGTACATACTATCCTATCCTACTTCATGTTGTTGAGTTCATTCTTAGTTAATTAAATTAAATTAATTTAGATTAATTTTAAATCAATTTCAGTTGGCCATTTGTTTTTGCAGTGGAAATGACAACACTGATATTGCTTCTTTTAATAAGTTCGAGTGTTGATTTTCATAAGATGCAATGAAAAGCCTACCTCTTCCACATCTTCTGATTCTAGGTATTCCTTCAGGAGCATGATCATCTAGATACAATGTGATAAGCAAGTGTTAATCAGTTTTGATCAATCACCATTAACTTATTGTATAATTCACTTAAATACCTTTTTGACCAGACATTTCACAGGGAGTCGTCCACCACCAACTCCCCAGACTCTGTCTAATCTACACATTCCATGTTTCATTTTTAGCAACAGTCTGGCTTCCTCAAGACATTTTCTGATTGAAAAAGTTAGGGAAAAATATCAGTTATTAGTTTTGGTTGCACTAGATTGAAGACCAATTATCCATAAGTGAATGATTAATCCAGCCAACACCTTTTTTGTTCAATTTTTCATTCATATGATTATAATCATGACATTATTGAGAAAAGAGGACATAAGGGGTATGAACTTGAGTCATTTTCTAAAACAAGAACAAATTCAGCCAAATAATGTACCTTTGTAAAGAGTCAGGTGTTGTGCCTTCATGATGATTAGACACATATGCAGGTGCAAGGGCATCATCAGCAACAGCACGAGCAATAAATTTAGCCAGGTAATCAGGTGCATCAGGTGTGTCCAGGGAAAGATCATCAAGATCCTCAAGAAGACTTTGGAAACCTGGAAATAGAATGGCACTTCATTAAACATGAAAGTATACCATCATATATACTATTTTTAGAAAAATTAAAATAAGTGGATTTATTCAAACTTTGTACAAATAAAATACTAGAGATGCAGATAATATTGTGACCAGCCTAAGTTGTGATCTGTGAAGTCACACAAAAGCCAAAACTTTAAGTCTGTACTGTAAACAGTCTAAATGCCAAAATCAAATGTATGGCACAGCTTTGTATTAATTTTGCAAACTAACCCTAAAACAGGCTACTATTTTAGTACTTAGACTTATTTAAAAAAATAGTCAGCRTATCCAATACTTCAGGACAAATAATATGTAGACAATAGCACAAATTCTACCTTTTGCAATATCATTTGAATTTAAAACTTTTCCATAAAGATCAGAGATTAGAATGGATGCCAGTTCTCGGTGTGATGCCTGCAACATAGATAATTTGATATTAAATGTAAGCTTATTGAAAAATTAATCAATATTACGTCCTTAAAAAACATGATTCAGATTATATAAAAAGAAATGTTAAATTAATTGATACCTTTTTCTCAAATGCATGAGTTACAGCAAGGGCCACAACCTATCAATAATTTATAAAAACTTATAACTATTATATACAACACAGAGATTTATCTTAATTTGTATAAGAGCCGCTTTTGGCAAGGCTCGAAAAATCAAACCAATTCATATTTTGTATATTGATAAGGTATGATAAGGTTACAATCGCTGTGTAATTTGTTTACTGGGCCTTTGTGTGACAAATCCTTGATTGCTAAAATAGCTCTCAAAATAGCCAAACTTCATACCGAGTGATCATGTAAAAACTAAAAAAGCTATTTTAAGAATATAAATTGCTTCTGTCTTTAATAACTCTTTTTTATTTATTTCATTGATTTTCACACCATTTAAGTAAATGCAAAATTTTCTGGAACTCGAAATATTACCATATGTATTTTCATATGCAAATTAGTACCTTAACAAAACAATCATTTTTATAATGTGCAAGTATTTTGTTTGCAATAAAATCCAGAGTGAATACTAAAGAAGAGATGAGCTTTTCAAATACATAAAAATTAGTCTGGGCAAATCACTCTCAGTTGCATAGAAATGAATAATAATCGGTTGAAACACCAAATGTTTTAAACAACTGAAATTCATTTACACTGCCTAAAATGTTCAAAGAAAATAACCTTAACCCTTTGTATCTTCTTTGAAATGTTCCTTATTTTGATTTCGAAAACCTTGAAAATCTCATGTTGTGTAAGTATCTAAAGTTTAACTTTTGTTATATTTTCAAAAACCAATTACACGCGATTGTTACYTAATCATACCTTATCAATAAACAAAATATGAATAGATTTGATTTTTCGAGCCTTGCCAGGATATGTCTGATTTTTGTCCGAAGYGGCTCTTAAAAGTAGTAGTATACAACCTTCAAAAGATATACAGGACAGTGTTATTTTAGGCTGAATTTATAAGGTATAGCTCTACCTTCTGRCACCTGCACAGCTGAATAAAATTGCAGGACAATGGTAATGGATGTGGGCAATGCTTAGTTATATTTAGAGTGTCTTRTTTTACTTTCCTAGCATTAACTTGTATATATCATATATAAAGGCATAAAATAATATAAAGTACCATTGATATGCCGTAAACTTACTATTTATTATTCTAAACCTGGTAATAAGCAAATAATTATGGATTGCCAGTTATAATGGGAAAATGTTAAGAGACCTGTTAATGATAGGTGGGTTGGTCACTGGAATGATAGATGAATGAATATTTGAAATCAAATTATGGAAGATAAGAATGCTTTATCATTTAAACAATTTCATCTAATAGACTAGAGTTAGATATMATTTCTCTTATAAACATCATTTGATAGCATGCCAATACAGCCTTACCTTTTGTTTTTGAGAAGCAATATTTAGTTCAAGCAGTGAATACTATGGAAAAGACAAAAAGGATTTCAAAGATTCTTGGTGTGTGGAAGTTACATTATAGGTCCCATGTTGGATGAAAGCATTTGTCATTAGCTTCTCTTGTTCATTCATCCAACATGGCATTGACTGATTTTCTTTATTTCTCAAGTTATTCTGTGTCATATGGTTGCACACTTAGAATATTGCATACCAGCACACAATGTCAATGTACAAAATACAACTGTGCAAAATGTAATGTCCACTGATAAATGCAGTATGATTTGCACCAATCATTCACAAGGTAAAAAATCCACTATACTGGACGGCAATGAACAATGCCATATGGCTATAAAATTGYGAAGTGCGATTGTTTTTGAAGTTGCTTTCTAAGTTGTCAAAAGATTGACCTTATAGCCATATGCATGGTAATTACCATCCAGCATGTCAGATACAAAAGAATTATTAACTTTCATAAAGAATAATCTTGGTCTTCTTATTTCGAGTGAAGTAAAAACAAAGCAAAACAAAACAAAAACAGTGAATTAGATAATACACTAGTGTTTCTTTGACTATCACAAATTAACAGTTAGATTTTGTTTCAAAGGTTCAATGGTTTCCCTCTTTATTTTATTAGTTATCAATGATAATTTTTTATGATCTTTGAACACTTACTACCACATCTTCTGTATCACCATGCTCAAAGTATTCCTAAAATGACAAAGATAATGGAATAGATTACTTCAATGTAGTTATTTGGTAAATAGTCACACAGACTCAGTTTACAAACAAATATTTCATGAGTGTGTGCACTAAACAAGTGAAATATCAAATTAAACTCTAGAACAGAAAATTTGTACCTCAAAGAGAGCTAGTTTATTGAACAGCTACAGAATAAATAATATCAACAAGRCTCATTCTATTGGCCTAATAACTTGCTAATTATGTAAGCTTTTTATAATCTGTGAATAAGAGGACAACAACAAGTTTTGCTGACACAATCAGGCAGCTTGCTCAGTGTCAAAAATATTATATATTGCACAAGTTTTTTTTTCATCCCCTGACTGACACACTGTTACATGTTGATGTCATAAAAATAATGTTCAAAAATTTGCATTGAGCCCAGTTGCGGCACTCAAGAAGGTGTCAATATGAGGAAATACAACTTAAAACTGAGTGCAATATGCTAAATATTTATTGGAAGTTATACTAGTCTGATGGTTAAAGAGAAAAAAATAATAATCAGTCATACTTCCTTACCATGATGATTGGATCAACATGCAAGTCAAACTCCTCACTTGTGAGTTCTGGTTTTACCTCCTGAATTTGAAAATCCTGTAGAGTAAGAAAGATAAAAAGAATGACAGGTTTAAATTAAGGCAATGAATCATGTTCAAATACCTAAATACAGAAAATGAGGTCACTAATTTAATCAAACGTCACTTTGAAATACTAGAGGATTCTTAGAGAAAAGCATGAGACAGAACACACAGCACAAATACAACATGTTACATACATCCTCATCTTCTTCAGATTCATAATTTGGATCATGATGATCTTTTATTTTAAGATCCTCTTCATCCAGCACCTCGCCAATAGCCCCCCATGTACCTTTGCCTCCAGCCCCACCTGAAAATGAAAGGCAATAAACAATCATTACATGCAAAAACTATTAATTTTATTGGCACAGAAGAAATTATTTAAATAAAAGAGACCAAAAAACAGCTGTATCAGGAAAGAAAATATGAAGTGACACTGGATCAGCAAAGGAAACTGATCAAAGTTTGACACTTGTAATAAAAGAAAAGTTTTATTTCAGCCAAAAATAAAAACTGTTTCACAAAAATGTAAGCTTTAAATCATTACTTATATCATATGATCAGAACAATCCTAAATCATATAACAAAATAAATACCTGTAAACAACTGCAATAACTTCATAAGCAGTCTATTTATTTTTTTTATTGTATTAATACATGTACAATCTATTATTACTTCTTTGACTGATAATTTGTACATTTCATGTCCCAATACAATGGCTTGAATTAATAAGCTTAAGCCAACGAAGATTAAAGAAAAAARCTAAAGACTATCTATTGCACTACTGGGAAGCAAATACCATTTCTATGGCAGTAAGTTAATTGTATCTAAACTACCACAATGTGTTTGTAAGGCTTTAACAAATAAGGTATCGTCACCTATTCTCGTCCACTACCTATTCTCGTCAACCAGCTAAAAAAAATATTTATTACGAAAATAACGTTGAACAAACCACTCCACGAAGTAAAAATGTGTGTAATTGCTCCGTGTATTTGAATTGATTCCTGCAAAAATACATTGAATAAAAATAAATGAACATCATAACTTACCAACGTGCGTTTAGCTGTTTTCAAAATAAATCCTATTTTCCATAATTTAGAATTATTTCACGCGACGTCCAATTTAGTTGTCCCTAAACATTCACCGAAGCAAACTACCGTCCATTTTGTATCCCACAATACCTTTAGACACCTGTTTTACAAAGTATGACCGCTTACCGAAGAGTTTGTTGAAGTGCAGCCGCATTAACCTATTCTCGTCCAGCCAGCGATCATTCGTCAGCTGTAATTGTTGATGCATATGCGCGCGCGCGCGGCGGTTAATTTGAATTTTGCTTTGTAGAAAAAATTTTCCAGATCACTCAACAACTGTTTTCTAAACTATTTAAAAGAATCGCACAGGTATGTAAATTTTATTTTATTCATTTTTTCTTTGTTTTCATTACTTTTATTATTTGTAATTGAGACGGGTTCAGAATGCACAAAAAATACTAGGCAATAGTCTAGACAATTGTCTAGCCCACAACTGTGCTGTCGTCAAAAATGCTGACATCAGCAGTGAAAAAAATACCGAAGCGTAACATATGACACATTTCCAATTTTTATTTGAATTTGAAAATTCTTTTTCATGTTTATTTTTCTGAAAATTATGGAAAAATTGAGCCAAATCTGTATTCAAACTTTCTATTCAAACTCTATGCATGACTTCTAATAATTGAAGAGAAGTTGTGAGGAAAAACTTAATAATAAAATGTACAATTGCTAAAACACGTTTTTTTTAGTTTTGGTATGCCGACTAAAAAAAAAGCAAAACTGTGGAGGGACGTAGACATGTTAGAGGCGATGAAGGCTTGCAAAGAGAGGGGGTACTCTCAACGGAAGGCGGCGCAGGAGTTTAATGTTCCAAGGATGACGTTAGTAGACCGCTTAAAGGGAAAAGTTATACATGGGTCAACTAGTGGGCCAGATACTCTTCTCAGCAAGGAGGATGAAGACAAGCTTTGCGCTTATCTCATCCAAATGGCTGAGGAGGGGTATGGCAAAAGCAAGGACATTATACTTTATATGGCTACTGCCATTGCCAAGAAAAGAGGGAAAAAAATCAAAGGTGATTGTGTAAGTTACAAGTGGTGGACAGGCTTTTTAAACCGTCATCCAGACATCTCAATGAGAGCCTCGCAGAGCTTCGGTGTGGCAAGAACTCTTGTCACAAAGGAAGTGATCGAGGCTTTTTACAATCGCCTTTTATCATCAATGACGACAGCACAAGGTACAGTCTTGAACCGTCCCCATTTAATATTCAATGCAGATGAAAGCGGTTTCGATTTTGACGCAATCAATAAGATCGTGGCCGCATCGCGGGGAGCCAAGCACGTGCCTAGAATAGCAAAGGGTCAGAGGGAAAAGGTGACCGTGCTTGCGTGCGCTTCTGCTGTTGGCAACAGTCTTGCTCCTATGGTAATTTACAAGAGCGAATCCGGTCGCGTCCCGTACGGAGTCAGAGATGATGCTCCTGCTGGCACTTTATTCGTAGCTCAGAAGTCTGGCTGGATCGAGAAAGATCTCTACATAAGATGGTTCAAGGAGATATTCTTACACAATATCCCATCCGAAAGACCTGTCATGCTTATCGTCGATGGTCATAAAACGCACGTCACCCCAGAAGTGATTGAGATTGCACTGGAATATGGAGTCATCATCTTCTGCCTTCCCGCACACGCTTCCCATCTCTTACAACCTCTCGACCTCTCTTTATTTGGTCCTCTAAAACGTGGGTGGACAAAAGCTTGCGCAGCCATAAACCACTTAACTGGTGTCGTAGTGACAAAACGCAACTTTGCCAAAGTCTTCAACATTGCGTGGCATTCCAGCCTGACGCCGGAAATCATCAGATCTGGATTTAGAAGGTCTGGCATTTGTCCATACAACCCATCAGTATTCGACTACAAGCGGCTTAATACATCATTGCAGTCCTCAACCCCTACTGACAACAACTCATTGACTCTCGCCGAAGATAGCACTTCTCATGTGAATGCAGCTGGCACGCCTACACCCCAGACACCCTCGTTTACCGCTTCTCATGTGACTGCAGC